GAGAAAGTATAAGGTGTGTTTTTGTAAAGAAAGTATTTTTGTTAATAAAATCATTTTCGTTTGACCTTTAAACTCAACACACCCTGTGTTTGGTAGCATGGAATTTAGCCATAGAATTGAATTAGAATTATTTCCATTTAAATGATTTATGCAAACTTCTATTCATCATCAGTAGCCTTGCTCTTGAGCTTGACAAGCATTGAGGTCCCGATTTGTGTTCTGCCAAATGTGGCCTCTGTTTTTTCTTTTTGTACTTATTATTTCTCTGAATTTGCAATTTTTATTGGGTGACAAGGTGACAGTTCCTCTAAGACTGAGAGACAGTGTTGAAGATAGAAAATGTTTCATATAAATCTTGTTTACTATCATGGATCCTAATAGTATACACTAAAGATAGGTTGTTGTAACCAATTCATTGTAGAAAGGGAGGAAAGTTAATTGTGATTTGATGATATGAAATCAGTTTCCCATTTATTCAGTTGCAATTTTTGTAGCCTTCCTCTTTTTGGAATGGTGGCATAAATCAAATCAGATCTATCATGGATATAAAAAATCATCAGCTGTCATAGGGAAGACATATAATTTACTAAACAGGTCTGATCCATAAGGAGTGAGTTTGAGAGGGCAGCTACCCTGCAAGAGTTGAATTTTACCTCGGGCAAATACACTGGCTTAGAGTGAGGGGCGTACATAGTCTTCTGCTATTTTGTTTCAGTCACCTTTCATAAGATGTGGTGTCAGCCCATTACTGCAGTATGGAGGACCTGAATTTTCTGCATTACACATTCTTCAATTTTTCAAGTGTTATCTGCAGCCATTTCCTTCTCTTTCCTTTATAATTTATTTTGGTTCAAGGGATCGGGTTGTGGGGGGTGTAATTGGTTTTCATCTGGTCTGTATTGCAAATTCACATAAAAAAATACATTAATGCTAATGGGTTGAAGACCACATCAACATCTCTTCCATCATGCAGATAAGGCATATCTCAAATCATCAGCGGTAACATCTTTCTCATTGTGCTGAATTGTTGTCTATCTGGCTCAAAGGTTGAGGTATAGTTTCAAGAATATGTTGGATAAATATGGCGAAGCTGAAATTTCTATTGAAGAGATGACTACAAATCTAATGAGGGACACTACCAAGGATGACGAAAGCAAGCAGCCTCTCATTTATCCTTCAGAGTTTGAATGTCAATTGAGTTCCATATTTGTTGTGGCAGATACACATTTGGTAATCTTATCATTCCATCTTTATTTTGTTTGGGGCTTTGATACACATTTTGTGGAAGGAACAGATAATTTGCTACCACGTGGAGAAAGAGAAAGCTATACTTTAACTTGGCCAACCGTTGAGTTACTGTTAATCTACTCAGTTCATTTAAATAAATGTTTGGTAAATGGAGAATTACAGATGTATTATTAATAAATAAAAGATAAACTGTTTTCGCAGTTTTATAAGGTGATATATAACATGAAGTGGGGATATCTTGTTAAGGTTCATAAGAGGGTTCTCAATTTCTTGAGAACAAACCCAATCCTATGTTTGCTCATCACCATGTCTTTCTGTTAAAACTGAAAGCGAAAGTGCTTGAAGAGAGGTTAAATTTTGCATTTTTAGGTGCTACTCGTGGAGCTTTGATAGAACCTTTTGGCCAAAGGATCCTGCTGCATCTTCACATGTGCACGCTGGACTTTTTTGATGTCGACTTCCTTTGGATTAAAAACAAAAAGGAATTTCAAGAAATATTATACAACATGAGACTTTCCAATTGCCTTAAAAATGTAGAAGTTAGTGATTTCAGCCCAAATGGTCCAGTACCTTTTAAATTGTATGCTTGGCTCTTAGGTCAATCCATGCTGATCTCTCTCTTTTTTTCCCCTCTATATTGATAAATCCATTTTGCATCTATCTATTTTCTTGTTAACCTTCCAATATGGATGAATTTCTTTTCCAGAAATGGTCCATTTTGATTGTATTATATTCTCTGTTAGATATGGAAGGGGTGGAATATACGAAGTCTACACACTGCATTAATACAAAATATAAGAAACGATTTAGAGTAGAAAGACTCATTCTTCGGGTTATTTGACAGCAATAGTGCAATCTGGGACCTTATAACATAACATTCCTGGAGGTCCCAGTACATTTAGGATTAACTTTTTCTGCTCGCCAAGCATTTTCTCTGGTGTTATGAAGAAAATATTAACTGTGTACAAAGGAAATAAGTTGATTATTAACCGTCAGAATCTATGACCATCCAAATAGTCTTCTGTCCAAACTTTCAGCTTTGTAGACTCTCTGTTCATTTTAAATTTGGATTAAAAAAATTCATGGGTCAATGTTCAAAGATTAGATGCAGCAGCAATAAATCTCATGTCTTGAATGAAATCTAAGTGGAAATGATTTGTTCATTTATGGTCCAGACTTGATTCAAAATTGATAAGGATGATGTTTTGTACATTAATGGAGTATTATGTCTCGTGCTCTCTGCTACTATTATTGAGAATTTGAGACTCAGTGTAGGTAAAATAAAAATTATGGGACTGGGAATTTTTCTATTGTGATTATGATGAAATTGGTTGTCGATTGCTACATTGTATCACCATCCTTATCTTGGGAATTGACCCCCGACACATGCACACACAAATAAAAGAAAATGAATTACATATTTACCTTTCCTTTTTAATGTGTCCGTTCGATGGAAATCACGTTATAGCTGATTCAAAGTGAACCATTTTGTGAACAATGAATAGCAGAGGGTTCTGCATGGATACAGTACATGAAGTCAGTAACTTTTATCTTTCATGACCTGTGTGGTAGATTGTACTAAGAGTCTTCAACAAGATTAAAGGAAAAAAAGGAAGTTAAAATATTGTATATCCAGCAAGGCCGTCACATATTTACAGAGAAGGAAATGCAGGGGCAGATGTTTTGGTAAATGATGGGCAGCGATTCGAGCATCTTCAAGTTCTCGGCCCTGGAGAAATTCGAGGCAAACTTGCTGGTTTTTTGAGAATGGATAGTCTACAGGTTCCTTGTGTTAGGTACAAAAGTTATGGTTTCTATTTTTGCAATCAATGTGTATCATGGACTTGGTTTAGTAATATAGTAGCAATGGTCTATGTTAGTCCTGGTTTTCAGATTCTCTTGTGTAAGTTATGAGGTAAAGCACTAGGCTCCCCTGATTGTATTTCTTTTTTTTTTTTTTGATACTCAGGTTTCCCATCTTACACCAGACTATATCCTGAAGCACTCAAAACCGGTGCCTCAACTCGGGCGGAGGTAAATCGCAGGTTATACCCAATCAAGCCAGTGTCCATGCAAATTTTATACTCCTGATCCCAACGGAGCCCTCCTACGCACCCTCATTGTATTTCTTGGTTATATTAATGGACGTGATAGGGGATTGAGTTTAGGTGGAGGCCTAAAAATCCCTGCCTGAACCTTTGCGCTGATTTAACTAAAAAATGTACCAAGTTTCCCGAAATATGTAAAAATGAATGTTTATTCTCTTCTATTATGATCGATGTTCCAAAGCAGTAAATGTCTCGTGTTGGTTTTTTTGGATGAAACAACTAAAATCTAAGCTTCTTTAGGGGCGATTTGGTGTTACCAGTTTGAACTGGTGCCATTAGCATATATGTGGAGCTCAAGAGATTGGTGGAGTGTATGGGGACATCGGGGAACTAAAATTTGATGGGGCTAAAATGACTCTTGATGGATCTCAAACGGGAAAATTAGCGATTGATCGTGATTCATCAATTACAATCTTGCCTGCAACTATTCATTTAACTCGCTAGTCCATGTTCATAATGTAAGATAGATTTTTCTTAGTAAAACTTCAAAGTTAGTTTCCTTTGTTTGCATGCAAATCAATTTGATATTTTTTACATTCAGCTGTGTTGTGATGTTGTTTCAAAATGAGCAACTAATGGAGCCACACGAGCCATTAATGGATACGGATTTTCTTGGCAACCCTTCCGTTACAGTTAATCAAAAGCGTTAAACAATTTACTTCATCTGAAGATCAACTAGTTGGACTGCAACGAAAGGAAGAAATTCAAGATTCTAATTCATTATTCCATTCGTTTGTTCAAATTTCAATTGCGTAGGAAAGGAAAGAAAAGGAAATGCGCACACTGATTAAATACAGATCCTGCCACTGTGTTGTGGACCAATTTTAACACACTCATCACTCGCTAATCCATTTTAACAGGAGTGCGTGGAGCCCACGCGCTAATATATACGGATGGCAAATGAAACTCGACCACAGATTCTGAATTTGGACAAAAAGCTTGTTCCTTTTATACCTCGTAAAAACCTCAACTTGCAATAGTTAATCAATTAGGAGTAGCTCGTGTGGGTCTCGTCTGTGTGTGAGAGAAAAAGAGAGACGGCTAAGCTGGTCAGCACTCCCCATTCAGCGGCGGAATTAGGTGGTGCCGTGGTGGAGCAAAACAGCAGAGGCGACATTATTGTCTGTATCATCCATTTGATAGATTCTGTATTCTCTCCTCATTTGCCTTTTCCTGGTACTTTTTACCATAAACTCAAGATCCATCTTTTTCTTCACCCCTTTGAAAGATTCTGTCTCATTTTCAATCATAATCTGCACACTTAATATGTATGTTGTCATAATTTTATTGATCACTTGTTTTCACCCTTTCTGGATTCATGGCTGGATTTTTTATATTTATTTCTTGTATTATGATGATGTGCTGCTCAGATATTGCTTGCTTTTGATTGTTTGATCCGATCTGTAGCAGATTTGTTCTTTGAAATTTATTCTCTTTTTTGGGGTGGGGTGTTGAAACGAAAATTTAAAAATTTATCAGCACTCGATTATTGGAGATTTCCTGATTTTGGGTTAATGTGAAGTTTCCTTTTCTGTTTATGTTCTCAGAATTTCAGTTCAGTTTTATTGATGGTGGAAAAGATTGGACTTGGAAAAGGCTGTGAAGAAATTGATGTGACAGAGGGAGGGGGAACTTCTATTGTTCATGGGCAATACATGCCGTGGATCTTTCAAAGACGTACAATTTCAGGGCTACGATCAGCCCGAAGAATATTCCAACTCCAAGCACGACCCTACGACTGGCCGCCACAGTTCTGACAGTTACTCACCTACAACCTTCACCTCCCAACACGTAGTTGCTCAAGAATTCTCCAGAGACAACCAACCAAACGACAAAAAAGACCCCAATTTACCACTTCTTAGTCCCAAGAAAGATAGTAGTATGAATCGTGGAACTACTAACCAATCTTATTTTGTGTTGGGTCACAAGACTGCTAATCTTCGCGATCTCTATACGCTCGGGCGTAAGTTAGGACAAGGTCAATTTGGTACTACTTATTTGTGCACTAAGATTTCCACAGGCAATGAATATGCTTGTAAATCTATATCTAAGAGGAAGTTGATCTCCAAAGAAGATGTAGAGGATGTTAGGAGGGAGATTCAGATAATGCATCATCTGGCTGGCCACAAGAATATTGTCACCATCAAAGGGGCATATGAGGATCCTTTGTGTGTTCACATTGTTATGGAGCTTTGTGCTGGGGGTGAATTGTTTGATCGCATCATTCATAGAGGGCACTACAGTGAGAGAAAGGCAGCTGAATTGACTAAGATTATTGTAGGGGTTGTTGAGGCTTGTCATTCCCTAGGGGTTATGCATAGAGATCTGAAACCGGAGAATTTCTTATTGGTAAACAAGGACGATGATTTCTCTCTCAAAGCTATTGATTTTGGGCTCTCTGTTTTCTTTAAGCCAGGTATAACTATTTTCCATTTTGCCTTGTAGTTGTTTTGAGCGTGTAAAAATGGATCAAAATTGTATCTTCTTTCTTTCTTTCTTTCTTTTTTTTTTTTTCTAACTTCATGAATGACTTGCTGTTTTAGGTCAGATGTTCACAGATGTGGTTGGAAGCCCATATTATGTTGCACCTGAAGTACTTTTGAAGCATTATGGCCCAGCAGCAGATGTGTGGACGGCAGGGGTCATACTCTATATATTATTAAGTGGCGTGCCACCCTTTTGGGCTGGTAACTTGCTTCTCTACACCATATACATATTCATTTGTCTAGGGTAATATGATGACGATTCTACCACTTATTGTTCAGAAACACAACAGGGGATATTTGATGCAGTTCTGAAGGGACACATTGATTTTGATTCTGACCCATGGCCATTGATATCAGAGAGTGCTAAAGATCTAATTCGGAAGATGTTATGCATGAACCCTTCAGAGCGGTTGACTGCTCATGAAGTATTATGTATGTTCACTTTTTCTGCACGGTTGGAGTTACTATTCATCCTTTGATGTAGGATTCTTGAAAACCCTTTCATTTTTCTTGGTAGCATCACGATTAACTTGGTTGATTTCAATTAAAAATTTCTTGAGTCTATGGAGCAAAGGTTCGCTATTTGCATTAATATTGCAGCATTCATGAGCACTGGCTAGAAAGTGCAATATTTTAAGGATTTTGCTTTCTTGTCTTGAGACTATACCTCCATCTAGGGACTCTGAAGCTTTATGAACAAAATGCTTTTTCTAGAGTAGTAGGAATTATTTTTACTTCTAAAATTTTGGTTCGACAATTATGGCTGCAGTTTATGGTGTAATTACTCCAAGTTACTGTTGAAATACCTTATTTTTACACTCATTATTTGAAAGAAATGTCAAGACCGTGATTAAATAAACTTATTAATAGACATGTTGCTTAAATTAATCTGGTGATATTTTTTACTCAAGTTTGTTTGCAGACTGTCTTTTGTTTTAGCTGTCCTCAGGTATCTGGTAATCATAACTTTTTTCTTTTATCAAAATTTTGTAGGTCATCCTTGGATTTGTGAAAATGGTGTTGCTCCAGACATGGCACTGGATCCAGCCGTTCTTTCTCGTCTTAAAAATTTCTCCGCAATGAATAAATTGAAGAAGATGGCTTTACGGGTATGTAATAAGTGGAATCACCAGCCTTATACTATTGTGCTTCAACTATTTGTTTTCCTACTCTCAAGATGCTAATGTACGCATCTCTTTGTGAGTGATTGTGCATGCAACTTGAATAAAGGGGATAAAAATTGAATCATCGAGGAAAATGATGTTATAAAGCACACTTATGCCTCCTCCAGGTAATAGCTGAAAGCTTGTCAGAAGAGGAGATTGCTGGGTTGAGAGAGATGTTTAAAGCCATGGACACTGATAATAGTGGGGCAATCACATTTGACGAACTTAAAGCTGGTTTAAGAAAATATGGATCCACCTTAAAGGATACTGAGATACGTGATCTGATGGATGCGGTATGATGACTTTTCCAGGATACGCATCATGTTCTTTTGCCTGTTTTGAATGTGATTATGTTTGTCTTTTCTTATATGTGATTTCACACTCAGGTAACGCGGCCAAAAAGTGTACATTTTATATTTTTTTACTTGCAGTCTCTGCCATGTTCCGACTAGAAACTTGAAAGAGGGATTAGTATATAGAAGATTAAAAGCTTGTTTGGCAAGTTTTTTTCAAGTGAAAAATAATTTTTTCGGAGAACGTGGTTGAAAAGTTGTGGATCCCATAGATTGTGTGGTTGAAAATGATTTTTGAGAAAAATGATTTTAGAAACAGCTGTGGCAAACAAGCCTTATCCTCTTGGCTCTTTATCAGTTGATCTTTCTGCTAACATTTGCAGCCAATAGAAGCTTTTCAATAGTTTAGAAACTTAGTGGTAGATTAAAGGGGATCAAAGGATTTCATCCCTCCCCACCCCCCCCTCAAAAAGGGGCTTGAACCCAGGAGGCCTTGTAAGGTTTCGCTCGAGTTAAGCCTTGGCCTTTAGTGGTGGGTACCTGCTCACAGAGATACCATATTTAACATTTTGAAACAGATGTTTAGGATCTCTCACTTCTATTGATCAATGCCTGCAATCTTCAAACTGGGATTTTGTCAATGTTTTCTGTGCACATTGCCTCTGCAAAACTTCTAGTCCATCAAATTCGCTGAATCTGTGATTTGCAGGCTGATGTAGACAATAGTGGAACCATTGACTATGGAGAATTTGTTGCAGCAACAATTCACCTAAACAAACTAGAACGCGAGGAACACCTTTTGGCAGCATTCCAATATTTTGACAAGGATGGAAGTGGTTATATTACGGTTGATGAACTCCAGCAAGCTTGTGTAGAACATGGCATGACAAATGTCCCCCTTGAAGATATTATCAAAGAAGTTGATCAAGATAATGATGGAAGGATAGATTATGGAGAATTTGTTGCTATGATGCAAAAGGGCAATGGTGGTATTGGTAGACGAACTATGCGAAACAGCCTGAATATAAGCATGCGAGATGCTCCAGGAGCTCTTTAGCTTTTTGATCTGCATGTATGAAGGTAAATTCCAGCTTCATTTTAGAATTCCGTTCTTCTTCAGTTCCCGTGTAAGCATGAAAGTTTTCAAGGCTATGGGGATTCCTCTGTAATGAAAACAGCCTTACAGATGCATAGTATAAATAAATTTTCGAGGTTGCTTTGTAAAAAGATGAGAACACTTCGGATTTGGTGTTCTTTTGTGGGTTTTTTTAGACAGTTTGGTTGACACCAAATCCAGGATGTCTGGTGGATTGTTTGTGAACAATCTAGGATTTCCGTCACCTTTAGTTACTTGATGACATCCTTTTATTTAGCCACTTGTCATTTGGATGTCTTGTTTAGGATTTGGAACATAAAAATAAATTACGAAAAATCATTGGCTAAAAGTTAATATACAACCACACTAATAATTTAGACTTCGTAGATACGTAGAAACGTCTTTCATTTTCATGTGCATCAGTGACGTTTTCTGGAAAGTCGTGTCAGAAGCTCCCAAATGTTGACATAATGGCAAAACTTCGTGTTTGTGCATCTTAAAGCTTTGTCATAATGAAGAAAATGTTCCATCATAACAGAAAAAATTGTTCCTTGTAGGTACACGGAAGATGGCGGAGTATGTTCAGTTATAAGTGTCAAAGATACATTTTCAGATGCTTGCTTAATTCGATATTTGTTCCACAACACTGGTGATTTAGATTGGAGATGTTAATGATTGAGTTATTGAGAGTCTTACCTTCGGGTGGCTGTGTAAATGAAGAGGTGGTTGTAAGCTTTACTATTTGTGTCGATGTGAGCTATATGAACTTATTAGTGTGAATTGTGACAGCTAATTATTTCAAGCTGTTAAACTATTTTGTGGTTCTCTCAGTTCAGACCTTGTAATTTATGCAGTTGAAGAGTTGTTCGAGTTTCCTTTATAAATCTTCGGTAAAAAGGTTATGATATCAAGCATTGTTCAGAAGTTAATTTAGAATATACATGAAAGACCAACAGATGAAATTGACAAACACTTGATTTAATTATAAATTGGATACATTGATTTAATACAACATATAAATTTCATATTGCCTTGTGAATATGTAGTTTACACTTTTTATGTAGAGAGTTGCATTCAGATTGTCTGAGAGCTTGTTCAATTTGTTGACATAGTCGCATGCAGTCTTCTTTCGTAGTGTGGACGAGATGCAGCTTAACTTGCTACTCCTTCGCTTGCAATTGTAATTTCCTGCTAGAAGAATCGCAGTAAATGTTAGTCTGAGAAAATACTCAATGAGGGGGTTACCCAACTGGGATTATCAGCTTTTAACATTGACAGTATGTTCATGGGAAAAAATTACTCAATTTATCAGACGTTTATATATGAATGATTCAATGTGAGAAAAATGAATAATGCTAAGAATACATCACCCCTTACATAAGGGGTGACATAATAGTCAAATGGCTCCTCCTCATTGGAGGAGTGCCGAGGCCCCACATGTGGGAAGAGGTGCCCCTCCAATGAGGAGGCGCCACTTGGCTATTATATCACCCCGTGTATAAGGGGTGAT